AACATGGAGAAACCCTGTGTCTACTAAAAACACAAAATTACCCTAGCGTGATGGCGCATGCCTGTAGTCTCAGCTACTCAGGAGGCTGAGGCAGGAGAATCGCTTAGAACCCAGGAGGCGGAGGTTGCAGTGAGCCGAGATTGTGCCATTGCACTCCAACCTGGGCAACAAGAATGAAACTCTGTCTTTAAAATAAAAAAAGTTTTTTAAAAAGGGCTGCATGCGGTGGCTCACACCTGTAATCCCAGCACTTTGGGAGGCCGAGGCAGGAGGATCACGAGGTCAGGAGATCGAGACCATCCTAGCTAACATGGTGAAACCCCGTCTCCACTAAAAATACAAAAAATTGGATGGGCGTGGTGGTGGGCACCGGTAGTCCCAGCTATTCGGAAGGCTGAGGCAGGAGAATGGCGTGGACCCAGGAGGCGGAGCTTGCAGTGAGCCGAGATCATGCCACTGCACTCCAGCCTGGGCAACAGAGCAAGACTCCGTCTCAAAAAAATAAAATAAAACAAAAAGAATAAAGAAACAATTATCAACTTCTAATAAAAAAAGGAGTACCCTTTTTTATTAGATCCAATTTGTCCCTGCAATCATTCCACTGGGGGGCGCTGGAGGCACTAGGGAAAGAAGGGCATGGAGGGCAGAACAGCAGGGAAATGCCCCACAGCTCTCAGCAGGCACGCCCACGCCGAGACAAGCCACTGCACAGCACAGTTATAAACCATGTGCTCTTCCGAATACATACCGTGCAGAAGACAGCGAGCACAGCAGGCCCCACTGCCGTCCGAGGAAAGGCCCCTGGCAAGGCCGGCCGTGGGCTGGCATCCAGGGGCCTGGACACCAGCAGGGTTCCCACCAAGTCCTGCTTGATGAGGGCCCCTCGCTGGCTCAATCTGCACAAAGAGTGTGCTTTACGCTGGCACCTGCTTTCCTCCTGGGGGTCTGGAATTTTATTTCGTGCCAGGCCGAGGTGTCCACGTGGCCAGACGCCAGCGAAAGCTCTGGGCACTGAGGCTCAAACGTGCTTCCCTGATAGACACCTCACAGGTGAGGTCACATCTCACTGCTGGGGGAATGTCACCCCCGCTGTGGGACCCAGCTGGAGGACCCTGGGAGCTCCTGCCTGGTTCTCCCCAGACTCCATCCCATGTGCCTTCTCCCTTTGCTGATTGTGCTGTGTATTATTTTGCCCTAACAAGTGACAGCCAAAAGGAGGAATCTATGCTGAGTGCTGCGAGTCCTCCTCGGGAAGCATCAAACCTGGGGTGGTCTTGGGAACCCAATACACTTATACTTCCACGAGTTAAAAAAACATATGAACAATGACGGATTTATTGTTAAACTATACATAGGCATAATTTTTCTTTATAAAAGGGCAATTTTAAACAAAAACAATTTAAAGCAACTTGTACAAGAAGGAAAAGTCAAAAGAAAAGAAAGAAAAGAGGAGTGACACAAAACAAAAGGAGATAAAACTGAAAGAAACAGGAAGGGGAAGGTGCAGCAGGGTGGGGCAAGCAGGGAGGAAGGACAGGCACGAAGGGGCTGGAGACAAGGGAGGAAGGACAGGCACGAAGGGGCTGGAGACGAGGGGGGAGGCAGAGTCGCTCACCTCATGGTCCTTGGGATTCTGATCTGTGACCAAATCTAAAACAGGCTCTACGTCAGCAACTTCGTGGGGAAATAAACTAAGAAATGTTTTATAGCCTCGAACCTATCAAATAAAGAGATGCTGAATTATTATAAAATTTAAAAATACAGACAGCAGCAAAATTGCCTTTCTTCCCTTTCATCAAAAATCACCACCTATGTGACCCACTGATCAAAGAGAATTCTGTCACATTACAGTGGCACAATTTAATAAGACCACAGTTACCACAAGAAAGCTACCCATGGCCAGGAGCGGTGGCTCACGCCTGTAATCCCAGCACTTCGGGAGGCTGAGGCAAAAGAACAGCTTGAGACCAAGAGCTGGAGACTAGCCTGGGCAACACAAAAACTTAAAAATCAGACAGGCGCGGTAGCTCAGGCCTGTAGTCTGAGAGGCTGAGGCAGCAGCGAGAATCATTTGAGAGCAAGAGTTTGAGGCTGCAGTGAGCTGACTGCACCACTGCACTCCAGCCTGAGTGACAGAGCAAGACCCCATCTCTCAAAAAAATAAATAAATAAAATAAAAAGGCTATCCTTCCTTCCTAAACTGGCTAGTGTTGTTCATTACCATATTTACGCCATCAGTCATTAAATGTGTTCATTTACATGACTGTCTTCTGACATTTATGAAGAATAAATGCATACAAACCTCAAGGGCTCAAATTCATTAACACTTCCATGAAACTCAGTGATACCACACCTTCCGGAGAAATCCTAACCTCAAACAGCAGAGCTACAGAGGCCTGCGTGTCCTTGGCAGCCCACCCGCAGTGTCCTCTCGCTGGCCAAGGACTCTCCCACCAGACAACAGAAATACTGCCTCACCACTACGAACCCCAGGTCCTACCCTGAGATGGCTGTGAGTACTCCCATAGTCAAAACTGCCAACAGTGAGCCTCTGGGCCAGCACAGAGACACTTGCAAGCTTGCAAGAAAAGTAGACTATGGGACCCCAACCTAGACCCACTTGCTCAAAATCTATAGTACAGCAAAATTTCCAGGAAATTCACCTGCACATTAAAGTGTGAGAGGCACTTCCATTCTACCGTCTCGCGCTGTCACTCAAGCTGGAGTGCAACAGCGTGATCTTGGCTCACTGCAACCTCTGCCTCTCATGTTCAAGCCATTCTCCCACCTCAGCCTCCCAAGCAGCTGGGATTACAGGCATGTGCCAACAAGCCCAGCTAATTTTTGTATTTTTAGTAGAGACGGGGTTTCACCGTGTTGGCCAGGCTGGTCTCGAACTCCTGACCACAGGTGATCCACCCACCTC